TATACATTATACGAAGTTATACGATCGGAGGAGGCGATGCGATTCTGCAACATCAGTGTTTCTTGTTTCTCTAGATTATCGATGCAACATAAGCTCTCGAATGTCTTCTCTTATCTCGATAACATCGGTATTTTCATCTCTTGAATTATTTATTAATTAGACACGTTTCTGAAAGACTGATGATATCCCAATTGTAAAATTGAATAAAAAATTGAATAAAAATTTCCGACTATCGATACATTCAATTAATTTTTTCTCAGCGAGATTATACATTGCGTTATACATTCTTATAAATTACTTTATTTATTTGAGATTTCAAAAAAATTTACTTAAAAAAATTTATTTGGAAAATATTTCGAATATTTATATTTACGAATTTAATGGCTACTATTTGACTGTCGTCGATTATCCTTCTGAAATATGCCATTTAAATGTCATTTGTTTATATTGAAATATGCTTCTACTCAAAAATTAAATGAAATGTTTTGATATTCGTATTAAATTTCAAGAAAATATCTCTAATTTATATCATTGGACAAGTTATGTAAAAAAGACGTTTGGAATTCTTGATGAACAATCCCTACGGGCATATTTTTTTATACCGGCGATCATGGATTTTCGGTCACGCCTTTGATTTATTGGTGAAACCACACAGCAACATTTAGGCAAACATTTAGGAAACTCTTATGAGATACGGTCTAATGTGACTCTTTACTTTGGAGTTATGCTAACTGTTACGTGATACCACGTGACAGGCGGCTTTCATAATCGGCCGATTGTGATCGTCGGCGGGTCCAGGAGTGCATCCTCACCAGTGTGTTAACAATGTCAACGCGGTTCTCCGGCTAAATCAAACGTTGCGTGTACGGGAGGCATTACCGGTCCCATGTTAATTGAAACGCTTTCGCGAATCACGCGCCCATGAATGAAAATCCCTGTCATTGATGACGACATCGCGGCATGACGAGGCGACGCCCGCCGGATGATCCGGACCGCTTTCACATCTTGGGCATCTTCACCGCCCCATTAGCCCAATTTCCCCACCGTTGTTACTCGCCGTGTGTTTGTTTGGGTCCGCGCGCGTGAAAGTTGCGTTTCTAAAAATATACACCCGACGAAAATCATCTTCATCGACGCGCAAATGACTTGTTACGTGTTTTATAATTACCCGCATTACTTACTTTTGCCCCGCGAGGACTAGTTCTCGCGTCCTTAATTCTCGCGAGTTAACTGCGTCCTTACGCGAGTTAACTGCGTCGCCGTTTATCGGGCGATATAACCGCGTAAGTGGAATGTGTGCTCAGTGGGCCGATAATAGCAATGCGCATTGGTTCCAGTTCGAGAAAACCGGAGGAACATTTCGCACGTTCACGCCGTTTCTCGCTCGCTCCCCGTTTTTTGCGATCTCGTGATTTCCTCCTCCGGCGGCATAGCCTTGACGCCGGATACACACTCTCGGGAGATCGGTAAAAGTCAAATGCAGTGAACTTGCTTATTGCCTCTCAGTTATCCAAGAATGTAACGAGCTGGTGTGTGCACGAGCACATGGAAATCACGCATGGACACGCATTAAAAGGCGCTCATTGCTCAACGTTGCATATCCTTCTGACGCGAAAAAAAGAAACAGTACCGGCGTTATTAGTTTAAATAAGATGCAAAACATCGAAAAACGCTATCTAGGCCGTCGGATTCATCACGAAGTACCCGAGATACGTGTGGATAATCTGGATATCTTACATCATGCAATGTTCATGTATATGTTTTACATTAAGATTTATATCAATTTATTTAAGTATTTAAATAAAATTTAAATAAGCATTTAAATAAAATTATGTAACCGCGAGCAGATCTTTTGCATATCATTATATATGTATTTTATACATGCGATATATATATATATTATTGACCTGTATGTGTGTATTTTATACAACGCTATTTCGTCATATCAGGAAGAATGTGAATTCATAGATCCTCATGTCCACTACGTGCTAGTTAAAAGCAATCGCTCGACGAAGCGAAAGGGTTCGATTTCCGGTCCGGTCACTCGCGCTCAATATTTTTCTCGTTTATCGCAATGTGGCTCCGCACGTCAATACGTCCTATATAAAAATATTATAATGGACACGAAGATTATAGAGGTAAGGTTTTAATGCCGAGTTAAATGCCGTAAGAAAAATCGCTTTCCAGGGTCAAACGAGTCACGGTTGTTACCACGCAGCTGAGTTAACGACACGCATTGTTTTTGTAGACTTGAAAGGTTGCAAGAAAAAGAAAAAAAGTGAAAAGAGATATTTGCGTTACGCCACGTTTGCTCGGGAAATTGGTGCAGCGTAGTAGTTCAGCTAATTATTTTCAGGATCTTGTGAGCCGGATTCACAAGGTTGCCGAGGTAGTCAGGTTTATGGCATAAGCGCACATACTTCTCAACGGGCGTTGCGAATGTTGTTATTTGCCTGTCGCGGCCTCGATTAGGTTTGCCGTTTGATTAAACGGGATGTGAGATTTGCTTCCACGTAAGAAAATATTTCAGCCGCTTCTGTTAATTACTTATTCTGTAATTTCGTTCATTTACTTTCACTTTTATCGTTTTGCGATCGTCTGAATTATGCTCTAATCTGAAATTTAAATTAGGCAGGTGTCAGGAATTAAACGCCTATATATTTATTAATATAAATGATCCGTTGAATATATCAGATTTAAAGAGAAGAGGAGGGGAGGTTAGGGGAAGAGAGAAATGTCTCATCTTTATATAAAGGATATACAGTTTTTATGTTTTTAATAATACAGATAATTAATCATAATGAAAATTATAAAAATAATAATAATTTTCAAATTTAAATCAATGTAAAATCTTTGTAAAATTTATGTTATAAATAAAAGTTAAAGGTTATAATGCATATATTAATCTTTATTTATTGTCACAGAAATTTCGTGCATTAATCATGTTCATATTACTCATTCGATATATATATATATATATATGTCGATATATATATGTCGATATATATATTCGATATAAGATCGCGTAATGCGTCATCAAACTGAAGAGTCTTTATGTAATAGTTATCAAATTTAGAATATCTCAATTACATAAAAGATTTTCTTCGGCGCGGAATGGCTGTTTGTAGAACTAGTCGCGCTGACGACACGTTGAATCGCTAAAAAATCGTGAAGCATCGATCGCGAAATTCTATGACGAAAGAGGACATCGTTGTGTACCGAGCGAAAGAATGCAGTCTTTTCTTCGCCATCGAGCGAGTCTCCGAGAAACACGAGGTGTTGGTAAGCACCTGCGTTCCATCGCGATGAAAATGCCTATATATATATATATATATAAAAAAAATAAAAATAAAAGTTACGGTCAATAACACTTTGTGCAAATAATCATGCTTGAAAACTGCATATGTTAGATGGAACGCGACCGCAATCTGTAAAGAGAGAACCTGGTGAAAAATTTGAACAAATCTTAGAGTAAGAATACAAAGATAACTAATGTTCGATAATTTTATCAAATATCTTTCTATTTCTATAGATGAAGAATAATTTTCTGCAAATGTTTAGAGTTCATCGTAACCAACATTAGGTTAATTAATTGACGATATTTTTCTGTAGATTTTTTTCCCGACGGTAATTGATAATATTTTCTTCGAGATGCATTTATAATCTTTAACTAAAACTCACCAGCTTGAAATTTAATGGATAGCGTTGACTATTAGCTTGTCGTGAAATACACATAATCAGGGAATCTTAATTAGCGCGTTTTTTTCCGAGCAATAAGAACTATGACGTGACGGACGTGTTGCAAGAGTAGTAGTTGTCTTGAATAGGGTCAGACCGGCGACAGTGGTAAATCATGCGTTGCGTCGGACATGTATCAGAAACGGAGAGAAAAAAAGGAGAGAGAAATATCTCTCTATATAAATATCATATGTATTGCAAGTTTAATAATAACTCAGGTAAAAAAAAGTCATTGTTACTATTATCATGCATCATTATATCTTGTTAATCGATTTATTTAATAAGACACTTTGCATGGAGTCTCGAAGCGAATTATGGATTAATGTAAAAAAGTTACATAATTAATGGCTGATTATAAATCACAGTAACATAAATACCGAGTATTGGCAATTTAATATCTTTAGTTTTTTTTCGAATAATTTTGCTCTTTCAACACTTGGTTATTAATTAATTGTATAAATTGTAAAAATATTGTAGAAGAAAAATATTATAGAAGAAAAATGTAATATCGATATATCCACGAGATATGGTAAAGATACATTTTTATCACTTTGTCAATGGAAATTAAAGAACACTTTATTTTCTCTTTTACAATTTAATTTAATGATGGCTAAATAAACATATTAGACAAATACAAATAGGAAGATCCATAGTATATACGTGGCGCGCTAAAAATATTCGACGGCGGTCACGTTTGAAACTTGAACAGAATAAATATTTGTTCCAATGGTATTACGCAATTAATCGTTATGGCATAATATAAGTTTATGGTCAATATTTGACGTAATACAGAACTTCCTTTTTTTTTTTTTCCATTTGCAGAACAAAACGAACACGCGAGACAGCAGGATAGATCTCGCGAGGGCGACGAGCACTATGCAAACGCAGATGCCTGGATCTTTGCCCGATTACCAAATCGATCCTTATAGACTTGTAGAGGACGACCTTAAGGATATATTCGACAATATACGACTGGTAAGTCCTTTTCACTTTATCGCGATCGAAAGGGAATTTAAATCTTCGTCGGATTTAAATCTTCGCGAGGATTCGCAATCGTTGATAATTGCGCAAAACCGATGGACAATGCGTTGTCAGTCAGTCATCACGAGAAGCAGTACGCGAATTAGTTACATAAAAGAAGCCGAAGGCTATTAATCCTCGTTCCTACGAGGCGGCGATTGTCATTCACATGGATAGCCTCGAGAAACTTTCGGGAAGTAACAGTACACATCGCCTAACAGCTATTTATGTAATTGACTTCATCGATATTACGTATGTTCTGCACCATTGTGAAATTTGTGTCGGCCAACCTAGGACGAGCCCAGCGATGCGATAAAAAAGAAGGCATGTATCGAAAAGGAATGATTAGATAAGCCTAGCGTAATCGACTTGCGCTTTGATTTCGTATGATCGTTCTGCTAACCCCTTTTAATCAGAATATTAATTAGACTAAAGTAACATATATATAATGTTTTTTCCAAATTTCTTAAAAACAAAGCATTCGACAGTATTAATGCTGAAAATCTATATTATTTATTTTTCATTATTTTTTATTATTTTTTTTTATTTTTATTATTTTAATTCCGAATCTACATCACGCGCATGATAATGTTCCGTACCTCGCGATGATCTAAACAACGGATATAATACAGACATATTTTTATTTCTTCGGTGACAAAAACTTCTTTAAAAAAAAAAAATTATTGTCAAAAAACGCATTAATAAATTGATGAAGAGCTGCACATTTATTTTTGAAGAGATATTTAATTTTTGTAATAATTTTAATTTCGAAATCCGCGTCACGCGCGTAATGATGTTTCGTACCTTGCCGTGCCTAATCAGCGAATGGCATTTGAATTGAGACAGCGCAAACATTTT